AAAAAAAAAAAAAAAAAAAAAATTAAGACATACCCAAAGAAAGAAAACGTTTGTTTAGCTAGCAGTTGGTCATAATACAACCATCAGTTAAGAACACGATTCTCGTTTTCTTCTTCATGCTGACATGTATCAAGACTCTAATGACTGAACTAAGCACAGAGGCATTGCATGTGTATCTATTACTGAATTATATCCAGGCTATAGGTAGAATAACTGCCCAACGAGAAGTACTGTCGTATGTTGGCCGATCTTTATGGTTAGTATGGAATATAAAAACTGACGTTTAACCGTTTATCAATCACGAATTTTGAGGAGGAAATTGGTAAAAACAAATTGATTTTTGAGTGATTTTTTTAATGTCAAAAAAACTTTTTTCCCGCACTATTACTGAATCAAAATCCTCTTCATTTAAAGACAAATCGAAGATACAACCTTTTATCATAAGTCGTTATGATATAAAAGTGGTTTCGAAAGAAACTTCCGCCGCTTATAACAAGGAACAGCTGTTTTATATTACTACCATTTGGGGCGCCGGTCCAAAAAGTGAGCTCCATGGACTACCCGCATATACATTTTTCGCCATTTAGTATTGCTCGCGTAAATATTTCGTTGTAAAAATTGCGATTCTTTCCAAGGCAATTTGGAGAAAAGCCCTTTAGTTCAGATGAATCCATAATGCTTTTCGGTCTAACGACGTTTGTATTCTTGTCTTGTCATATTTGGAAGACAACAGGAAGACGAAAAAGTATTATTTTTCCCACCTCAGTCATTGGTTATCTACATGCAGCAGGTGTTCAGTGTATATGTACGGTGTAGGAGGATTCCACTCTAGGTTGCCGGATTCATTTGTTTGTTTGTTCCGCCTTTTTTTCTACAAGCAAACTCGGACCTTTATAACCTTCAATGCCGTGTACAATTAAGAAAATATGATTCCTAAGATCATCCTACTAAAAGGCACTTGAACAACATAAAAGATAATGTGGCAGCCATGTTGGATGATGTTTACTATATATAGGTGGTTTGTAATCATTCCTAAGGGAATAAAAGTGGCAGCCATGTTGGATGATGTTCACTATAGGTGGTTTGTAATCATTCATAAGGGAATAACAGTGACAGCCATCTTGGATGATGTTCACTATGGGTGGTTTGTAATCATTCATAAGGGAATAAAAGTGGCAGCCTAGTTGGATGATGTTCACTATAGGTGGTTTGTAATCGTTCATAAGGGAATTAAAGTGGCAGCCTAGTTGGATGTTGTTCACTATAGGTGATTTGTAATCATTCCTAAAGGAAAGAAATAGCGGATTTTTACGCCTCTGTCTATACTCATGCCTACTTGACTCATCTAACAATAATATAGTGAGGTCGACACTTCTTGTGGGCGATGAAAGCTACGATAGAACAAACTCTATTACTTGTTCAGATGCAAAACTAGTTGTTTCAATTTTGTACTATAAAAGGTACTACTTTATATCATAGTTATAGTTTAGTATATATTTTATTACATATATATTGCCTTACCATCCTAAAATATGATATAAAGAGGGCTTGGAAACGTCATAAAACATGCTAATCATAATATTAATTACTTTTTTTCCATTAAAATGGATGCATTAGGTGGGTTATGAAAGGATAAGAGGGATAGATGGATAAATGGATCCGCACTTTTGTTTTTTCAAAACTATTTACCTCGGCGAACATGAACAGTGTAAGAATGTGTATAATGTTTGTCTTTTAAAAAAATAAATAATTACTTTAACATTACAGCCTAATTCTTTCCTGATGTTTTTTTACTAAAGCCCAATAGTTCTCAAGTCATCCAGAAATTGTTAAAATAATCGTGCAAATAAGCTTTGTGCTTGAACAATAGTAAAAAGTTGAATAGGTTCATTCAATCAGTACAATTCATTATTAATAACAATGTTTTATTCGTAAATGCTCTCAGTGATAAAGAACTTATGTGGTGCTTTATCATGTCAGTAAATATGCAATGGAACATAAGACTGTGGTCGTAATCCTAAACCCCAACACTACCGGCTTAGTCGTGAATCATCTTCAATAAATGACATGGAAACCTATTTAGAAATTATCAGTTAATTAAGATGAAAACTGGTGTTTAAGTTTTTTAAAGATAAAGATCACGTAAAGTAAAATTCCTTTTCTTTCTGACTGTGCGACTTGGAACATGGATTCCTTAAACGACATTTCGAAGGGAAAAAATTCTTAGTTTTTGAGGAAATAGAGCTGACTTTCTGTTCAAAACATGACCAAAACATGACCAACACTGTGTTAACATGACCAACACTGATGTTAAACTATGGTAAAATAATGGAATAGAAGAGTGATAGCTGTACCCGACGCATTTATTGAAGAGCTTTTCCGACAATGCCAACATCACACAAAAAGAATTTAATCCTTGCAGCTACAAGTCAACTGCTATACAGCTTCAAATTAGATTCCAATTGCCTTCTAATCTTAATACAATTATGTTCTTGATCATAAGGTTATTATAGAACTCCTTTCTACTAGCTAGGTTGATCGGTAACCTCAAACCAAGATGGCTACCGCGTAGTACATAACAAAAGTATTGCGATTAAAAATAAGTTTCAATGCGATATCAATCTAAAGTGTCAGTTAAATTACTATAGTCTTCTACATCGTTTTCCATTTCTTTTTGAAGCTCTTGGTGCCAAGGTATTTCCTTTAGTCCAACGCCTACAAAAACCCTGAAATCTGATTGGACTAGATCTTCTTATCTTGATTCATTTTGTTGGCAGGTGTATTGGGGAGACTAAACAATACGACGTATATCATTCCCAACCCGCCATTTTAAACATTCAAGACTGACTGTCGCTGTTGTAATACCTGGAATTTACGCCAAACTGTTGTTCAAACTGTTGTTGAAAGGTGGTGTGTGTTTACCCGCAAAGAACCAACTATAGAACTACAAAACACACCTTGAAACTGCTCGGTTCTTTTCCACAAGTAAGTTGATGTTTGGTTATTCTTTTTCCTCATTAATTTTGGCGCGAAATAATTGTGATCATTTAAAAAAAGATCTAAGAAAGAAAAACTGGTTTGAACGGATGAGAGAAAAGAAGAAAAGAGAATCGTATAAAGTGGTTTGCAGGACAAATGACAAAAACATTCAAGAGCAGCATATCTTTAGCCTTTTTGGCGTCCATAATTCAAAGGGTTATCTGGTGCTCATATTTTGTGTTATATATTAGAACATAAGGTGAGATGTATATATTGTTATAGTGATAAATATCTAGTATAACAAGACCTGTCAGGCAGATGGAAAAAGGCGCTCTTTTGAAGGAAATGTGAATCAATCAGTCATGTTCAAATGGCGTGATATGCCACCATCGATTCAGCTTAACATGGCATATCAAGAACACATTGTCAGAGATAAGTAGCTTAGCTTTTAAAGGTGCTTCGGTAGATTCCTAATATCAGTATTTTACTTCTTCTTTTCCTCTTCCAATGCAAACACATCCTAGAGGTCTCTTGTCGAGGTTAAGTACCCTCAACGATGCTATGTTTGATGTCTAGGCTGCTTGCTTGCTTGCCAGACAATTCCCCTTCCATCAGGGCTTTTTTCTCAGTTTCTTTTCTCGTTGATTACGAGTCAAGAAAGAAAAGAAGTCCACTCAGAAAATTTTCGGTTTTGTAGTCAAGTTCCGTCGACTGACGTCACACCTCAGGATCATCACCAATCGATAACTGAATATATACCAATAAATATAATAAATAAATAGATATAATATATATATATTGTACTATGATCATACTGATACCAACACACGAACCATTAAGTCTAAATCTAAAAACCTTTTCTATTATCTATGATTTATAACTACTTATTGTAATTCATTCCATGTTTCTATTGTTCGTGTGAGCATAAGACTTAGGCTTTTCTCATTATTTCTGCATATCTTTATCATAAATAATTTCTATTATCTATATGATTCATAC